AGGGGTGCCAGCAGAGTCAAGAAGTTCAGGAAGTTCAATGTTTTTGGTCATGTATATTCCTACCTAGACTTTATCAGTCAAGTTTCCATCCCCCTCACCGCACCCCGCCCCAACCCCAACCACCAACCAGACTGGCACCAGGCACCCAATCCCTCCTTTGTGATGATTCCATTTCAAAGAAATAGTTCTCAGTTCCTTTAAAACGACACTCCTGTGTTGTTGAGATATAAGCTGGAAACTAGCTGTACTCTCACTCATAGGATAGAAGAATGATTTACAAGAGTAAGTTTTTAATAAAAGCTCAACAGTTGGCTGGAACAAATAATAAATTCATTTGGCACACTTGAGGTTTTCCAGACAGGAACTCAATAGGGACGCAGGGTCATCTCAGGGCCGTGGGCTTAGGTTGTGAGAAGCCTTGCTAGAGTTGGGCCAGGATTCTTTTTTTTGGGCCAGGATTCTTAATGCAGGACTTTGGAAGAAGCCAGTCATGCTGTTTTTGCACTTCTCAACATCAAGGAGTGACCAGCCATCCCTCTGCATCCTGTCTGACTCCCTGGCCCATAGAGTCTGAGTACTATAAAGTGGAGCTAGTCCTTAAAACATTCACATGGGGGAGATTGCTTGGGTACAAGGGTGCAGCACTGGTGATGAGAACAATACAGTTGATAACCTTTGATGAGATTGACCTCCTGCTCTACCTCTGCCCAGCATAAACAAACTGACCTGGTTAAGGGCCATGTATTAAGGGCTATGTATTGATTCCTCAAGTCCATTCTCAGAATCATGGGCTAAAGGTCATGCAGCATGTGGCTGCAAGAGTGGAAATTGGAAGGGCATCACTGTTTTACCTAGAATTCTGCCCATGATTAGCTCCAGGTTAGAGTAGGGAGGTAGGGTGAGGGGTAGAATGGAAAAAGCAAGTCAGCGGCAGCCATCTATGCCAGGAAAAATTGAGCCAACCAATAGGAGAGTTTTGGGGAATTGTCGAGAGGGACCATAATGCAGAAGCAGGACAGATAGGGAGGGCTAGTGGATTTCAGGGAGTGGACTGTAATAAGTCATCATGTCCCAGAATATCAGGGCAGAACTGATCACAGAGAATATGAATGCACCCCCTTTGGGCTCTTCCATGGGAGAACCTCTCCCTAAGTTAGAGGAGAGGGGTTGATTGTGTTGCGGGATTGAGAAAATGCTCTTGACTCACTACTGACTCATTCTGTGTGAGTAGATTTCACATGGACATACATAAAGATCCTACTTTGTTGCCTATACTTATTGGGAGCCATTTCTGAAAGAGGATTGGATTGCCAAAGCACATTCAACTAGAGTTAGTTACTGCCTCTTAACTATTATGTATACATTTTGGATACATAAGGGAGTTGTTGTTCTGTGTGCTGTAGTGCTGTAATTCTGAATATAATGGATCTTCTGAGTGGAGAAATTTAAGGCATCACTTTAGATTGTCTCCTGGTAGAGTGTGCAGGTTGCTGCATAGTCATTCATACTACTGATGTTTTACCTTAGCTGGGATGTGATTCATCTGCCAACACGCTGATCTGTGGGTAGAACAGAAGGGAATCTTCAAGGAGTGTGGGAGGAAGAATTTGACATCATCCAGGTTGCTAAGTTCCAGGGTAACACTGGTGGCAGAGAGGGGAGCAGGGAGTCTCACAACAGGGGTAAATGAATCACAGGCAAACTTCAATGAGTCTGGCAATTTATTGCTGCCATTCCATTAACAGTTTGGATTAAATCTGGTTTTAAATACTGAGGTACCTGCTAAGATACCCCTCAAGGAGGCTGGACCTGGCAAAGCAGCACGAAGATACAAGGTGATGGGTAGGATCATGTACATAATACAAACCCTTTGGAAAACAGTGGTAAGCAGAATTGTGCTTCTCCAACCACGGATCTGTAAATGATGCAACTTACAATAATACTACTAACAATAATACTTGAGTTAGCACTATAAAAACAAAGAGTATTATCAAATATATAGGCAAAGTTATAGCACCACGCAGTTCATATGGTCTGTCTATTGAAAGTAAATCATTTATGCACTAAGCACCCAATGTATGTCCCCAGGGTTTCATCTTCAAGTAAAAGGGAGAAGAGCTAAGACCTGCAATCTCTGGGTAGCAATGTCTAACTTTCAAAGTTTGGAAGATTTTAGCTAATCAAATGGGAAATTATGATAAGAAACAACAGGATATGCTTCAAATATGTTTTAGAAAGTCAATAAAGGTCATTAAAAAGTCACGAAATACTTGGAAGCATCATAATGGGATGCTATGACATCTTGGATGTCTCAGGAGATTGAAGGGAAGTGTGGTCTTATGCAAGAAAATCCATCATAAAACAAATCTTTCTGATTAAGAGGCAATTGTGTTACAAAATGATTACCTATCTTAGAAAGCTGTTTACTAAAAGGCTTCTTAAATATTGCTCTCTTATGTTCACAAACAACACACAACTTCTCAGAAAAGAACTTCCCTACCTCTATGAAGGGAAATGTAAACAGAATGGACTTTGAGAACCTACACGTTGTAAGCACCATGCCCTACGGCTGTCATTGGTTCATGGTAGATGTGAATCCAGTGTGTCTCTTACTCCATTTCTCACTTGTTGGTTCAGGACAGGAAGAAAGCAAGCCATGGATAAAATAAAACAAAGTTACTTAAGCGTGGCCTCCCAGTGCATCCAAATGGTGCAGACACTATTGAAATCCTTGTGAAACTGACATCTACCTCATGTTGCAGGCATAGGGACCCATTCATTAAGCCCAGGCACCACTGATGCTATTCTGTAACAACTGTGACAATTCACAGCTGAGTGATTATCTAGGCAACAACCACTATGTCAGATCACTCCAATATCAAGTGCTATCTTAATACTGGGATTCAGAAGGAAGAGATATAGACTTTACAAATCTTTTGACACAACTTCACTACAGAAAGCAAATGTCAACAATGAGTGAGTAGGGACCAATAACCTGCAATTGAGAAAAGGAGAAATCTTGCCAGTAGAAATATGGGTTTGCTCCTGAGTTCTGTAAAACAGGTTATTTACATCTAAGTCTCAGGACACAAAAGATGCTGTGTAGCACAGTATTAGTTTAACTTCAATCAATTTTCTCACTAAATGGATCCTCCTCAAAACTGTATACTACACTCCAAGGACAGTCTTTGCAAGTGATCTTATTAGAAAAAAAATATGGTTTTCTTTTGTGTATATACTGATAATTTAAGCACCTTCTGTCTAAAACTATTATTTTATCAATGTTGGCCATCAGCTAGCAATGTTTATTCTTAAAGGACAGGGAACACAAGAATACAGTCATTATCTAGAAATATAATCTCTGGCTTTAAGTAAACATATCCTTCTCTCCTCATTTTTCTAATATACTTTTAGTTTAATCCTAACCTCAGCATTTTGAATCCACAGGAATTTACCAGAAAAATATTCATTAATGGTTTGAAAAAAAAATAAGCACGTGATATAAAAATTTTCAGATTCTGGTATCTAAGATATCTAACTGGCCTTTGCCAGCAACACCATTTGACACTGAACAGAAGATGAAGACATATGGATTTTCCCATGTGTTTATATGTCTGGATATGTTTATATTCTGCCAGTGTCTGGATATTAGCACCATTTTTCAATAGCACCATTCTGCTGAGCGAATAAACAACTGAAGGGAATGATGGGACAGGGTGATTTCTAACTGTACCTATGCATGAGACTGGAAACCTGCCCCCCTCACATGAGATCTGTATCATTCCCTTCTGTGAGGAGCTGGTCTGAGCATCTATTCCTTTGGGTCCTCTATCCATACACCAATCCTCTTGCTCTGGGTTCCACTCATGACCGAGCCTCCCCTTCAGCAACCAGCAACTTTGCCCTAAATTTGCAAGCCCTTCTGATGGGGGGGGGATAATCTATAAAAAGCATTCAAACACTCATTTCAGTATTTAGGACTTCTCCAACTTGCCTGTTCCTGTAAGAAAGGACACCCTAAAAAGTAAGCACTGGGGAACAGAACATCTTTCCCTCACTGTTGAGAAGTTTCATTCTCTAGAAATTATTGGAGTTAATATACATTTATTAGGTCCCCGTTTGTGTTGAAGCCACGCCCAGGTTGCATAGGTCTTATTCCTGGCTCTGTGCTCAGGGATCACTCTTGACTGGATTCAGAGAACCATATGGGGTGTCTTACCCTCTGGACTATTGCTCTGGCCCTCATTTACTAGGTTATTAAAAATATTTTAATCCAGAGTTCTATTTTTCAACCTGGGTTTGGAGGTTAGGAGGCCACCCTGAACCCGGTAACATTTCTGAGCTATGTGGCTTAGGCAAAAACCCTGCTGAAGAGGAAAAGTGAATCAGAAAGATGCATTTCCTTTTTCTGGAAAGGGTGATCAGCTGCTAGAAAAATGGAAAGAATAAAGGTCCACATTCCCAGCAAGATGTAGATAAATGTTCATTTGTTTTTAAGTTTTTGTAGAAATTGCTTTTAAGACATGAAGAAATGTTTTCCACAGAAGTAATCTAAATTCTTCAGGTCTAGTAAATTTATATTGTTGGCTGTTTCCTTTTTATTCTAATGTCTCCAGGTAGACATGGGAGTCTTCCTATTTCTTGATATTTTTGAGGTAGTCTGGGAAAATGTGGTCTCTTTGATGGTTTGTTCTTTAAGGTGGGGAGTTGGGGGAGAGACACAGATGGAAGCAGAGGAGAACGCTCAAATTGCTATTGGGTATGTCTTTGCATGCAAGAGGCTCAGGCTCTATCCCTGGCATTGCCCCCCCCCCCCCACACACACACAGACACACGCACACACATTATTTTTACCAACTTTCCTAATTTGTCATCTTTCCCAGAGCTGATTCCAAGGGTGCCCAATTCTCCTGGATGTTTTACTTTCCTATTTGGGAGCAGCAAGTAGTAGTCTCCTGTCTCCTGTGTAGGACATAAATGGCTAAAGGAATATATCGGCTTCTGTTTTTGATGACCCAAAGTTGGGCCTGAAATAGAGTAAAGTCTCAGTGAAGGTGTCCCGAGCTGAGGCACGCCAGGGTCAGCGGGGTGCTGCAGTCCGGGGTGGGAAGAGCATTGGTCTAAAGTTAGAGTGCTTTGGAATTGCTGAGCAACGGCTGTTTCCTTGACCTGTGGCTGTGGATGGGTGTCTGGGAACATGTGAAGCAGCACTGAGCCCTCACAGTAGGCACAGAACATCTCCTCATGCTTCTGAGAGTCTGGCAGAAACTGACTGATAACTTGTCCTTGGTGCAAAGCAAATCTGTAGGAGAAAAAATGGGAAAACCAATTAAACACTACCTTTGGTAAGTGAATTAGTGCATATACTAATGAAAGACTTTATATTTCTCTTAAGAAAAGGTCCATTATTAGGATTAGAGCAATTGTACAGCAACTATGACTTTTTTCTTACATGTAGATATCAGATTTGACTCCCGGCATTCTACACAGTCCCCTGAACATTGCCAGGAGTAATTCCTGAGTGCAGAGTCCAGAAGCAACTCCTGAGCATGATTGGGTGTGGCCCCCCCAAAACAAACAAACAAAAACCCGGCCCATTATTCATGAGTGAGAGTCTGTGGAGTCATATAATTCACAGTAAAACATGACATTTGCTGAGCATTTACTATGCATCAGACATGGTGCAAAGTATTTGCATTAAAATGACTAAAACATCACAATTCTTCACCCTAGTAGCAGCATTATACATCCTCATTCCAACCATATTTGTCTACAGGGCGTAAAGTTTTTCCTTACTCCTGAGACTTGGGTTTCATACTATGACTTACTTTGGATAAAGGAATGTTAATAGACACAATTCCTCCGGGTCCTTGGAAGGTGCAGGAGAATAAGTCTCCTGCTGTTTCCATAAGAAGAAATCTGGTTTGTGCAGCCACAGAATCAAGGATGAAGAGCAGGTCTAGAACAACTGACAGCTTGTATTGAAGGCCAACTAGAGCCAGGTTAGATCAGTGGAACTTGAGTTAATCTGTAGATACTAGCAAAACAACCTAACGTGCTTGTAATTTTTATAGCCCGTATTTAGCAGCATGGTTCTTCTATGCAGTATTACTATGTAAGAGTTGCATGCAATGCTTTCCTTGCTTCATCGTGTTTCATCTATACAATGGTACTGTCGGCAAAAGATTACAAATGAGAAATGGAAGGCCCTGAGATGTCAGGAACTTGGACAATGTTATCCAGATGATAATCAGTACAGCCAGATCTGAACACAAGAAATGATACCCGCAGAGCTCATGGCATACTAAAGGGATACCATATAGGATGCCAAGCAATCACCCATACAGCCAACTCACCAACTAAGCATGGTGTAACCTTGAAGGCTACAGATACAGAAAATGTTCCTTTCCTCAGAAACAAACCATGGACGGAGACATTAGAAACCAATAGTTCTGACAGTCAATGTGCAATCTGTCCCTCGGACTCTTATTCTTGGTTTACTCTAATAAACTTATATTTTTTGGACCTGCTTTGTTTTTGCTTATACATGAAGCAAATAATTAGACTATGTTGCTTAGGGACTCCCCCTCTGGGTTTTTGTCTTTCGTGTGTGTGTGTGTGTGTGTGTGTGTGTGTGTATGTGTGTGTGTACCACTGGTCTGGAAGGAATTCAATTAGTCCCCATATAATAGGTTTTTCTAGAGAGCAAAATTGTCGTAAACTTTGCTTGGCTGCCTGTAAGAGCTCTGATTGTCTTTCCATTTCTTTCACAGAAAAGATTTGAAGAGTGTTGAAGAGAAGTTTTTTCCACAAATAGGCTACTGTCCTATGCAAACAAAACTGTGGGTGACAGTGGAAACATTTGGAGGTGATATTCCTGTGAACCCAAGCCTGGGGCAGCAGTTTTGTTCTGTACAACTTTCTCATCATTGGGACAGGAAGGCTCAGAATGCTTTTTATTATCAAAGAACTCATCATTCCCATGTCTTTTTGTGAAGAAATAAATGTCTTCTCTTAGCACTCAGAACTCTATTTTGTCTGCATGTTTTAAGTGATTTGGAGAGACAACTGATAATGTTCCTAGAATACAAAAGCTCTTCATTGCTGATGTCTTTCCTCTTCAGGCTCTTCTTAAAGCCTATTAGAAATATCAATCTATTCTATTATCCCAAGAAACTTCCTTACATGACCTTATGTTTGAGAAAATCATGTGTTTCAGCTGAGTCTTCCAATTGTGGGATAGGAAGTTGAGGTCTTTGGATGCCCCTCAGGGCAGTGGACAGAGCCATGGGGCCTCGACTGTGCATCACATGGGCTATAGTTCAGAACAAGCACAGATTCCAAGGGATTTCTGCTTGGAAAGGCCCAGCAGCGCAGTTGTAGGCATGGGGGAAGGAAGGCTGCTTCACTGCCTCAGGTTGACCTTAAGCCTTGTCAATAGTGGATAAAGATGGTACATGGAGGCCAGCCCTTTGAACCATAGATTATCTGCCACTAGTATGTAGGTGCCCTGCGGTTACTTTAGTAAAGACAGAAGGCAGGGCTTGGTTCAGCTGAGAATGCCTGCCTTGCATGTGTGAGGCTTTGACTTTAGTTCCTGGCACTACTGGTGTGATCCCTGACTTGCTGCCATAAAAGTGTGAGCACCAAACCAAGCGTAAGTGATCCTTCACACTCCAATAGCAACAAGCCAAAAGGGGAAGTGGAGATCTGAGAGATATTACAGGATTTAAGGCATGTGCCTTGCATCTTACCAACATACCAGTTCGAATTCCTGTTACCATCAGGAGTTGTCCCTGAACATAGATCCAGGAATATGCCCCGAGCACCAATGCATGTGACTCCCCACAACCACCCCAACCAAAAAAAAAAATGGGGGAAGTGCAGGTGAAGAAAAGAAGGAAGATGAGGCAGTGCACACATTTAGCTTGTATTGGATCTCTTCTCCAAGCTTGTTTGGCCATGTTGGGATAAAGGGATTCCTCTATCCCAATTTGTATTATTGTTGCATATTTGTGCAAACATAGAACTACATTCTATCCTGAACTGTTCTACAAATAAATTGGAGTCTTTTAAAATGTGATTGCTTTCAAGAGTGTTTTCCATTACAGAAATAGCTTCATAGAGGTTCCCCATATTTTTCTTCACCTGTTGTGAGTTGGGCTGGAGCAATAGCACAGCGATAGGGCATTTGCCTTGCACGCAGCCAACATGGCCGACCCGAGTTCGATTCCTCCGCCCCTCTTGGAGAGCCCGGCAAGCTACCGAGAGTATCTCGACCACACAGCAGAGCCTGGCAAGCTCCCCGTGACGTATTCGACATGCCAAACACAGTAACAACAAAGTCTCCAATGGAGACATTACTGGGCCCGCTCGAGCAAATCGACGATCAACGGGAGGGCCTTTACCTGTTGTGAGTTTGTATCTTTCAAAATTTACATATTCCCCAAAGTTGAAGTCCTAACCACCAATATCTATGGTAAAGGTACTTCTATGATCTTACTTAAAAATACTTCTTGGTAGATGCAATTTGGATGAAAATTAAGATTAGCAGGGTATAACCGCACTTCAACATGACTGTGTCCCTAGAAGAGATACAGTAAAGAGAAACCCCATAAGGGCAGACACACCCAGGAAAGATAATGTTATGATGTTGGTTTTTGTTTTGAGGTCACAACCAGTGATGCTCAGGGCTTACTCTTGGCTTTGTGGTCAAGAGTCACTCCTGGAGACCATATGAAATGTTGGGGATTTAACTTCCATCACTCATATCAAGGCAAGCACCCAACCCACTGTACTATTGCTCCTTCCCCAATATTATGATGTTGGAAGTAGAGATTGGAGTTATGTAGTTACAAGTCAAGGAAAGCTAAGATTGTATCAAACACCAAAAACTGTGAGGGGGGGCAAGGTTGTGGTTTTAGGAGGGGAGAAGGATAGGGGAGACTAAAGAATAGGAGACAAGACATAGAGGGAGAAAAGATAAAAGAAAAATGGAGAGTGGAAATTGGGGACAAAGAGAGAAGAGAATAGAGAGGAGAGAGCACACACATATGGTTTTACTTTGGGTTTTCTAGCGTCCAGGAACTATAAGAGAATAAGATTTTGTTCTTTGGAGCCACTTAGAATGTGGAAGTTTGTTACACTAACCCTAAGGAAAAATTACCCAATCTCCCATGAGATCAGTAATAAATATGACTTATTATTAAGTGTTTACCACATAATAGTCAATGTGCCTGATATTTACAACAAAAACTGATCTTCATATATACCAATAAACCTTATAGATCAATATATATTAATAGGTATATATATAAGATATATAAGATCTCTATATAAAGATAAATATTATCTATAGATCATATATATCAATATACCATATAGATCAATATACCTTAATGGTATATTTATTTTTTAAAAAAAAACAGGGTTCCAGAGAAGCTTAGTAACTGACCCAATGTAGATGGTGATGCTCGAATTTCAATGCTGCCTCAATTGGTGCCACTAAAGCCCAATCAGCAAAGAAAACAGATTTCTTGAGCTGATGCTGGATTGAAAAGAGGATCACTTGGACCAAGCTCTAAGGCCAGAAGTCCTTAGAGTGCTCAACACAGGTTCCACTTGTCAGGTTAGGTTGGCATCTAAAACCGGAAAACCAGAAAAAGGGATGGGGGTCGATCCTTGATTGATCTTGAGAATCAGGAGATACTAATTCCTGATTTTCAGTGATCTTATGAGGCCTGGAAACCTGCTTGGGTGCAATTTAAGAGTGAGGAACTTGCCAGAAGAATGGAGTGGCCTCTACTGGGAGAAGTTGCTCTAGGCCATGTTTAGAATTGTTTAGACAATGACTACAAGGCTAACACCCCAGGCATGGCTTAATTGTACCAGTTCTCCTTATTGTTGTAGAATAAAATGTTCTTATTGTTTGCATCAGCCAATTGGATTCCAGCCAAAGCACATACAATGCTTCTAATTAGGGACAGCTTGGAGAGGCCATACCAGTTTGTCTCTGTTCAACAGAAACTATACTTGGAGATTTAAAGAGACTGTGATAAATTTATTTCCTTGTTGTTGGTTGTATCTAGGATGAAAGGATAATATCTGAACCACAAGAGAAAGTTGAAAAACAATTTCAATATGGTGAACAATTTTCATAAAATTTTTTATGAAAAAATTCATTTCTAAATTCATTTCTAAAACATCAGCTTTTAGTCTTGCCTGGCATGTATAGCTTGTGATCAGTCATGTTTGCTGAATTAATGAATAGAAGACATTATTATATACCTGGAAGAACATCTTTCAGTAGAAAATTTCTGGATTAAAATTTAATCTATTAATATTTGGTCTAAGAACTGTACTATTAATTTTCTTTTTCTTGCCATCTCTACCTTTCAAACCCCCAAGCAATAACCCAGAGATGCATGTTTAACAGTAATGCTGGAACACAGGTAATATTCTCTAAACATGATGCATTTACTTTATGTTTATTTTAACTCAGATACTTGGAATAGGTCTTTTAGTCCCAACTATGAAAATAATAATTTATATTTTAAGTCATTAATGATTTAAAGGAAGCAAAATGGCCTCAGGAAGGAAGCATTATATGAATTCAAATTCAATCGTGTAGTTAGTCAAAGGATGTATTTATTCTAATAGCTGGCTCTATAAGATTCAGGGCATTAAATGAGGGCAAAATGAGTGAGGGCAATTTAGAAGGCATAGGAGCCATTAAGATGGGCTCTTTGACCAAGAAATTTCTTGCAGCTGCTTTTTCTTGTTGTTTCTATGTTACTAAGCCTGGTTTACCAGTAGATAACTTCATTGCCCTGGTAATTGTTAGGAAGTGGAATTCATTGATATTTATATCCTTTGCCAGCCACTATTAGCCATCAGCTCTACTGTGTGACATTTCAAGATGAAAAGTACCAGTAATGCATTTTTGATTACTGAAATACAGTATTTATTATTGAAGACAGCACTGTCCAGCAATAAAACAGAGACGACATTGTACATATCATTTAAAAATATCAAGTTGTAACACTTGGTGGGGTCAACCAAGACTAAGTTGTTACATCAATTATAAAAAAAAATTTAGCACCACACAAAAGAGAATTTATAGCCTCGCTATTTAAAAATGATGGTGCCATAGAAGGTGATGAGATGGCATTAAGGAAGAAGGTCTCAAATTGGCCTCGTGGTGTGCAATAGAACTTAAATGTGCACCTAAATCACCCGAGGATCTTATTTAAATGTAGATGCAGATTCTGTAAGATATGGATGAGCATTGAGATCCAGGAGTTCCCTAAGATGCTTCAAGTTGATGCTAATACAGCCGCTCCAGAGAGCACAATTTGAGTTGTAAAATAAAGGAAGACTAAAGATTCTTTGAAATGGCTTCTGAAAATAACCCTTAGGTCAGTGAGAGAGACCTTCATTGTACATGACACTCATAAACTATTCTCCCCCTCTTCCCTTTCTTCTAACCCCCATATCCTTCTCACCCCTGATGCACTGCATTCAGGATTTCCAATCCAGACTACTCTTTGAGGTTCCGCATTAGAAGTGCAGCAGCCTAGTCCCTACAGATGGAGACAACCAATCCCACACATGTGGTCTTCTCAGGTGGCTTGTTGGCCAAAGGCTGAAGAGTGTGGGAATGTCTAAGTCCAGTTTAGGAGGGAACAATTCTGAGGTATCACATGCTAAACTTAGGACATGTCTGAGTTCACACTCAGAATGGTTTCCTCCTTTTTCATGCTCACTTACCCCCTTTGTGGGTCTCTCCAGGGAACACATTTTTTTCCCTTTTTGGGTCACATTCAGCGATGCTCAGGTGTTACTCCTGGCTCTGCACTCAGGAATTACTCCTGATGGTACTTGGGGGACCATATGGGATGCTGGGGATCCCATGCAAACCCAGGTCGACTGCATGCAAGGTAAATGTCCTACCCGCTGTACTACCACTCCAGTTTCAGGGAGCATATTTTTATTTTTCTTCTTCTTTTTTTTAATTATCAATTTAATTTTTTCATTTTAATTTAGTTTAATTTTTTTTTTTTTTTGCTTTTTGCTTTTTGGGTCACACCCGACCATGCACAGAGGTTACTTCTGGCTCTTCACTCAGGAATTACTCCTGGTGGTGCTCCGGGGACCATATGGGATGCTGGGAATCGAACCCAGGTCGGCTGCATGCAAGGCAAACACCCTACCTGCTGTGCTATCACTCCAGTCCCTATCCATTTAATTTTTATTAGTGAAACACCACGGGGTACAGTTGTAGACTTACAAACTTTCGTGCTTGGGTTTCAGTTATACAATGATCCAGTACCTATCCCTCCACCAGTGCCCATTCTCCACCACCAACGATCCCAGTAACTCTTCCACCACCCCCACCCCATTCTCCTCCCCCTCCCCGCCTCTGTGGCAGGGCGTTCCCTTTTGCTCTCTCTTTCCTTTAGAGTGTTGTGACTTGCAATAGGGATATTGAGTGGCCATCGTGTTCAGTCTACAGTCTACTTTCAGCACTCATCTCCCTTCCGGGGAGTGCTGAAAGAACATATTTTTAAATGAATCTTTTGCATATAAATTTGTACCTCAGAGTCTCTTTCTATGAAACTGGATCACAGAAAAGCAGTGTTTGATTGATAAAGATGGTTACTCAATGCTCGTGTGGGCACTTGAGAAAAGTTTTCTCAGAAACCTTTGGCAAATGATCCCACCTCTCTGTGTGTTATGGTGCTGGTGTGAAACTGTTTCGATATGGAAAACTAGATTAAGTTACCCTTTCAAGGAATTTGGATTCAAAAACCCAAACAGTGTGCTCACCCATGAGCTGACGGGTCTCAACAGCATCATGAGTCAGGAATGAGGAGGAGAGCTAGTCAGAGGGTGTACCATGCAGCATAACTCCTGCGTCCAAAGTCCCTCCCACTGAGCCACCCTACCTATTCCCCCAACTTCACTCACCAGGACTCTTCCAACAGGCCTGCTGGTTGCATTTCTGGAACTCTGGAGGTTTGGGTTCATGGTCACACATGCATTGGTCATGGTCTTCAGTTTCATTGTCCTCTGAAGAGACACAGTGAACAGTCCTCTTCTGAAGGCCCCCTCCACAGGAAGTAGAGCACTGGAAGAGATGGGTGGGTGGAAAGAGTCAGAGGGAGACGTGCCCCAGGATCACAGAGGGAATGACAGCAGATACTCCACTAGGGCTGTGTGGGGGGGGTGGGGGGACTGTTCAAGGATGAGAAAGCCTTCAGAAGAAGTCCTAGAATAAAGGTTCTAAGAAATACTCAATAGATGCAAATTCTATTACAGTTTGTGTGGAAGTAATTCAATTTTACCATTATGCCCTGAAAAATATGGACAGGGGCTGAATTATGAGCAAGATAGAAATAAAAGATGCCCATCTTAGGCCTAAGGCTTCAGGCAATCAGTGTCTCTGAATAAGTCTTAATTTAGGGTTGGGAGTCAAGTATGAGAATAGGGTTATAGAACAAACTGAAAAAATTTGAGTTTTAGAGAGTTGCATAGTGGGCCAGGGTGCTTGCCTTGCACACAGCTGACCTGGAGTTTGATCACTGGCACCCTGTATGTTGCCCTGAGTCAGCCAGGAATGACCCCTAAGCACAGAGCTAAGAATAAGGAAGCCCTGAGCACAGCCAAGGGTGGCTCACAAACAAAAAAACAATAAACAAAAATTTAAAACCTGAAAGTTGGATAAAAAAGGAAGTGGGAGAGGAAAATTATGGAGAAAAGAAGAGGAATGGGAACGCATCTCACAGAGCTCAGTTCTAGAAAAAAAAATTTCCTTGCATAGAATTGCACCCCAAATAAACTGAATACAAGCTCCACTGACCTTATTCAGTCTTTTTTTTGTGGGGTGGTCCCACACCCAGCACAGCTCACGGCTTACTCCTGGCCCTGAGTTCAGATGTTACTCTTTGCAGAAATTGGAGTAACATATGGGGTGTCAGACACCGAACCCCAGTCAGCTGCATATCAGGGAAGCTCACTGGCTGCTCTACTATCCCCAGCCCTGATCTCATTCAGTCTTGAAGTCTGTCCAGTAAAATACCATCGTTACCGTTTTACACTGGCCCATTAAGAAAACTGGATTCCAAGGATAAGCTGGGGATAAGCAAGAATTAGTTCTGTGTAAAAGAGCTATAAAGTATAGATTCCTTAAAAACTGGATTTTTTTTTGAAGGCTACCATGCAACCAGCATAAATCAGATGGAAAAATACAAAGAGAGAAAAACTATTTGATGATTTATAATTAATGTGAACGTATTCACTAGGTAACTTTAATTTCAGTGTTGGAGATCAAATCCAGGCCTTCACACATGTGTGGTAGCAAGTGCTTTTTTTGCTGAGTCACATTCAGAATGAAACATTTTTTGCTGTTAATTTTTTTTTCTAGAATCCAACTAAAGTAACACTGGTTTACTTGTGGTTACCATTAATGCATGGCAAGTGCTGTTCCTATTAAGAATATGCATAGGGAATATCCTAACCACCACGGAAAAAATGTTTTCTAGTCTTACTGATATAGAAACAGATCCTGCTCTTCAACCCTTTTCCTTCTTTTTTTTTTTTTTTTTTTTTTTTTTTTTTTTTTTTACTTTTTGGGTCACACCCGGCAATGCACATGTGGTTCCTCCTGGTTCTGCACTCAGGAATTACCCCTGGCTGTGCTCAGGGGACCATGTGGGGTGCTGGGAATCGAACCCGGGTGGGCCACATGCAAGGCAAACGCCCTCCCTGCTGTGCTATTGCTCCAGCCCCAATGCTTTTCCTTTTTATTTCAGGATTTAATAAAATAAATGGAGATTCATGTTCTTCAGAGTTGAGAAAATTTTTGCGTGTGTGATAATCTGCAAGTCTTCTTATTTCTGTTTTCCCCTCTTTCTTTTTTCTAAATATTATTGTTTTGACGATGTACCTTCTGTCCTGATGATCTAATTTCTACGTTGTCTTTTACTTTGAGATTTATTCACATTACTTTTGCAAGTCTTCATTTATTATTTAACTGTTATTTGATTTTTTCCTGTTATCCTTATATTCTCTGCTTGTTTCTCGCACATAGATTTTTTAAAAAGCTCTGTCTTAATTCCCTAAAGAGATTAATTCTAGATATTTTAGTGGAGTTTGTTTGTTCCCTTCATGTTCTGTATCTCTGAGGCCTGCCTCTCAAATGTCATAGGTTATTTCAATATTCCAGGAGTCTTAAGACTATCATTTATATAGATTTCTCCTTAAGAAATATCTTTAAGTAGTCCTACCAAATCATATAAAATAGAAATGCTCTTCATTTGAACTGCAGGAAAACCAGTATTTAAGATGGCATTTCATGGGTGGTTGTGATTAACAAGTGGCTCTATATGAAGCCATCAGGAAGAGATCTATTATTTAGAAATTTTTCTCTGTAGGCTAATCCGTTTTTGTGCTAGTGGAGGAAGAAAAATATCATTGTATATAATTTTACTTAATCACAGAAGAGAAAAAACCCATTAACTGTGCCTAGTTTTAGGTCTCTTTTGATTCACTCTCCCAGAGAGAAGAACCTCCAGAGTGTAGCTAGGATGTAGAAAAACATGGAAAGATCCAACTGCATACCTTAAAAGCTTTCATCCAACTCCTCTTTCCTTCCCTTCACCTTTGCCTTCTGGGGAAATCTCTACTGTAGTTTGAAGCTTTCTCTGGCATGCAGAGTCACTTGCAAGTTTGGTTATCTGATCCAAGGGTCCAAAAAGTATAGATCCCACCATCATGTCTTCTTTTGAGTTTGTGCCATTTTATTTAAATTTATTTTGCTTATTTAATGGGGTTTTGGAAATAAAAACAAAGGCATTTCTTTAGTCCATCCACAAACCTCTAATTTGAACTCTATAATTTGTCTTTTAAGCCTTGCAAGCTCCCCGTGACATATTCAATATGCCAAACACAGTAACAACAAGTCTCACAATGGAGGCGTTATTGGGCCTGCTCGAGCAAATCAATGAACAACGGGAGGACAGTGCTATACAGTGCTATATTATAATAGATCGTGGAGGTCAGGAGTAATTTCAAAATTTGGTGTGATAGTCACTAGCCATGTCCCTATTCTTTGATAGGAACAACTGATAAGTTATTAAGACATGGTCATTCCAAGAAAACTCACTCATGTTCACCTCCAAGAAATAGTTACTTGTAAATTCCCTAAGACCCCAATTTTGGGGAATTGTTATTATAAACTATGTGTCAATGAGCATCCTTTATAGTCACCCAGGTTATATCTGATGGTAGATTTATGATCTCAATTATTAGAAGTTTAATTGGTGGATAAGGTAGTCTGTTTTAAGTCTCACTGACTTTAAAATGTTTTATTTGAACTGAATACAGGTGATTATAAGTGAACAGACTAGAAATTTGGCTAATAAAAAACACCCCACAAAGCCTCACCATTTATAACCTCAGGGCACCTAAATGCCAAAATGAAGAAAAACAGATTGCTCTATTTGAAGGATATGAGGATATGAGATATGTTTGACAATTTCCTCTTCGTAGTGATGACCTATGAGCTCAATATGGCTCATACATTATTAATATTATCATGTTTACTTGGTGAATGTCATTATTCTTGCCAGAAAGAAATATGCATTGTCTAGTTTTTCTTTTCAACAAATGATAAGGTGCTAGAGTAATGGGGATTGACAGGGAGAAGTGTTTATCTGTAGTTTTAAATTTTGTATGTATTATGTGTGTTGAATGGGCACAAATTTGTAACATTTACATAACTGTTCACATTGTGTCGGATGTTCTCCTCTATTGATTACATCTCATTTTATTAGTGATACATCGTTATACAGCCCTCCAGGGTATACGAAGAGTCGAACCATGAAATGCATCCCATCCTTCCATTTCTGGGCACAGGTTTTTCAGGTCAAAAGATGGATGAAGAAAATTGTTTTTTCAAATACATGAATTTCTAACAGATGGGAAATAAAGTCATTTTTCTAAGGGAGCTATTCTAAGAGGCCCAAATGTAAAGGGATTAAACTATAGTTCTATAAAATAAAACCACGGCACATGATATTTTCTATTGCTGACATCACTCATGGGGGCAGTATGGAAGTTGGGTATCGGCTTTGCAGATAGCTTAGCAGAGCCAGCAGCTGCCCTGACACTAGACTGGGCATTGACAGATCATTGCAAATCAGCAGAGATGCCAATGAAAATAGGGACATCACAGAAAATAGTGTGGACTTGTCTGGCTAGGCAATGGCTGACAGCATTTTTCTTTGTCTACTAGGAACTTTCCCCCCCCCATTATTATTTTTTTTATTTTTATTAGTGAAACACCATGAGGTACAGTTATAGACTTATAAATTTCTATGCTTGGGTTTCAGTTATACAATGATCCCTCCACCAGTGCCCATCCTCCACCATCACGGGTCCCAGCATCCCTCCCACACCCCATACCCCCGTCCCACCCTGCCTCTGTGGCAGGGCATTCCCCCTTGTTCTCTCTCTCTCTTCTTTTGGGTACTGTGTTTTGCAAGAGAGGCATTGAGTGGCAATCATGTTTGGTCTATAGACTACTTTTAGCATGCTTCTCCCAACCTGGGATGGTCCTCACAACACCCTTTATTTGGTGCTCTCTTCTCTATCTGAGCTTACTAGGAACTTTTTTAAGATAAAATAAAGTATGTCTTATATTAGTAGCAGGTGAAGTGATTGATAAGCCATTTTCCTTTAGCAGTCATGAATTAGCTTTCTTCTTGGATTGGAGAGAGTGTCAACATGCCTTTGATTTCGAGGCGCCAGCAGGTTTTTAAAATTAATTTATTATTTATTTTACCAGCAGGCTTTTTAAAAAAAAACTTTTATTAGTGAGACACTTTTATTAGTGAGACAGTCGTCAAGTCTCAGTAGACATGCAATTATTCACACTGGAGAGAAAACGTATAGATGTAAAGAATGTGGAAAGGCTTTTGATTGGGTCGCAAATCTTAGTGTACATAGGAGAATTCACACTGGAGAGAAACCGCATATATGTAAGGAATGTGGAAAGGCCTTTGCTAGAGCCTCAAAACTTACTGTACATAGGAGAATTCACATGGGAGAGAAACCGTATATATGTAAGCAATATGTGAAGGCCTTTGCTGAATCCTCAACACTTAGAGTATATAGGAGAATTCACACTGGAGAGAAACCGTGTATATGTAAGGAATGTGGGAAGGACTTTGCTATAACCTCAAGACTTACTGTACATAGGAGAATTCACACTGGAGAGAAACCATACATATATGTAAGGAATGTGGAAAGGCCTTTGCTTGGGCCTCAACATTTAGAGAACATAGGAAAATTCACACTGGAGAGAAACCATATATATGTAAGTAATGTGGGAATAGTCTCTGAGTCTGAGTCTTGGCCGCTGATGGGATTACACGGTGCCAGGGGGCCAGGTGGTGGGTGTGACCCCCGCCTACTGGAATTTGGAGGATCTGGGTGGAAGATGCTCGACTCCAATTCGAGTAGGCTTGGAGGTCTCGGCCCCGGAACCCGCGTGGCTTTGTCCCTCTGCCAGTACCTTCATGTGTGCGGAGAGTGGTCTCAGCATGGTGGTGGCTGGTCCTGGAGGTCTTCGGCTGCCGTAGCCCTGGTTGGGGCGGGGAGGAAAGCTCAACCCGCTCCCCTCCAAGGGACTCTGGGAAGGAACACCCAGGCGCGGGGGCAGAGACTGGACGAGATCCCGGACGAGAACAGTGCCTACTCGAATTGGAGTCGAGCATCTTCCACCCAGATCCTCCAAATTCCAGTAGGCGGGGGTCACACCCACCACCTGGCCCCCTGGCGCCGTGTAATCCCATCAGCGGCCAAGACTCAGAGACTATAAAATCCAGATCCCGGAACCGCGCGGCCACATTTGCGGCCGCGCGACATCTTATTATCTCATTCCTACTTTGGACAAACTTGCAGGCTATCGAATGTAGCCTGCCCACAGGGCAGAGTCTGGCAAACTCCCCGTAGCCTACCAAATATGCCAAATACCAGTAACAATGATGGGTCTCATTCTCCTAAAGAGCCGTGAATATAATCTCAGGGCTAGGATGAAAGAGACGTTACTGGGGCCTGCTCGAGGCAATCGACGATTAACAGGATGATGAAATGAAAATGAAATGAAAGTGAGACACCATGAGGTACAGTTGTAGACTTACAAATTTTTGCGCTTGGGTTTCAATTATACAATGATCAAATATCCATCCCTCCACCAGTGCCCATTTCCCACCACCACGGATCCCAGTATCCCTCCCCCCCATCCCAACCTGCCTATGTGGCAGGGCATTCCCTTTTGTTCTCTCTCTCTCCTATTGGGTGTTGTGGTTTGCAAAAGAGGCAATGAGTGGCAATCATGTTTGGTCTATAGTCTACTTTCAGCATGCTTCTCCCATCCTGGGAGGATCCTCCCAACACCCTTTATTTGGTGCTCCCTTCTCTATCTGAGTTCCCTTTTCCCCTAGTATGTGTGGCTGGCCTCCAAGCCATGGAGCAAAATTCCTGGTACTAATCTCGGCCATTCTAGGGTGTTGGTTTCCTATTTTTTTACTTTATGTTCCCCAGATGAATGCAATCTTTCTATGTCTATCCCTCTCTTTCTGACTCATTTTGCTTAACATGATACTTTCCATGTAGTACCACTTGTATGTAAATTTCATGACTTCGTCTTTTCTAACAACTACATAGTACTCCATTGTGTAAATGCACATGAGAAAATGCTCTACATCATTAATCATCAATGAGATGCAAATCAAAACCACAATGAGATATCATTTCACACTACAGAGACTGGCCCACATCCACAAGAACAAAAGTAACCGGTGCTGGTGTGGATGTGGCGAGAAAGGGACCCTCCTTCACTGCTGGTGGGAATGCTGACTGATTCAGCCCTTTTGGAAAACAGTATGGACGATTCTCAAAAAATTAGAAATTGAGCTCCCTTTTGACCCAGCAGGGTTTTTAAGAGTACAGGTGAGCAGTTAAATATAGATGAGATTATATAGCTACAAACTTACAGTAACACAAATACATATGATGGTGCTTGTCTGACTAAATATTATACTATGATAATAACAATAATCAAGATATACTTATATAGCAACAAGTTACTTTATTAACATTAATAGCCAAGAGTCAAGTGATTGAGGTCTTATTGGTTGCCCCTGTCTCCCAGCTGTTGACCCTTACATTGGCCCCATCTGAGGCAACCAACTTCAGGAAAGAAAATTCACTGCTCTGTACCTCATGTGCTCCTCAGCTTCTGAATCTGGGCTTTCTGATTGCTAGTGTGATGTGAGACAAGCTGGGACCCATTCATTGTCCATATGTAGGCAACACTCAAGAATGGGGATCTTAACTCTGGAAGGGGGGACTTTTCCCAACCATCGTGGGAGACAGTAGCTAGTAGCTCAACTCCTTTTCTTTCCTGCCTGGGAAAAAAATGTCCTAATATGGAGTTCCTTATAGGCCCTTTTTGGAGAATGAGTTATCAGATGCTTCTGATTGGATAAGTGGTTGGTTAGACAATGTGGAGAGTCTGGTAAAGCACCACCTCACCCCTGCCTTCCTTTACACCTTCCTCTTCTGTTAGAAGAGCATTGGCATTGCTGTAGATTTTGCCTTGAGAATATATTCTAGAATATATTCAGTTGACAAAAGAATTTTTGCTTTTAGTGTCACCAATGGAAGTGTTACTTTACACAACAAGTAACCTTTTCAAGAATATTAAGCCTTTCCCTCATTTATGGTTTAATCTCTCCCTCAATCATGCTGATCCACAACTGACCACAAATGTGACATTCACTAAATCAGGTGACATTTCAAGCCCTGTAGCACTGTCTTCCCGTTGTTCATTGATTTGCTCTACGAAAAGCTTGAGGATCATAGATGTTGGGACCCCAAATTATTTTCATCAAGCTTTGTGTCTCTGGGAGAGTTTTGGTATTTGATCTTTTTTTCGAGTTCAAGATGGCAAACTCTGTCTGACATGTCAGTTATGGGTCAGCATTTAGCGGACTTGGTGGTATTAGGTAATAGAAGATAATCAGAACTAAAATATGCTGAAATACCTTATGAAGCAATGAACCCTGTACATTGTAAGGTACACTGGTCACTCACAGACAATATGTATTACTTTTGTCATTAAAAGAAAACACTTTTTTGCATGTAGCTGACCATAAGGAAAGATGAAATCATGCAATTTGCTGGTATATGGAGAGATTCCAGAGAGAATCATACTGAGTGAAGTTAGAAAGAGGGAGAGAGACCAACAGAGAATGATCTCTCTTATATGCAGGATCTAAAGATGCATCATGGTGGGATAACAAATGTCCAGTGACAATGGAAACAAAGAATTTGAAAACTGTTCTTCATTAGGAAACATGCACTGAGGGGGGCGGGAGATGGGGGGGCGGGTAACAACTATGGTACAGGAAAGTGCCCAATCAGGTGGAGGAGAGGGTGTTGAAGGCAGTAAAGTGTTATCATGAAACCCTATCAGTAACAGTGCTGTAAACCACAGTGCACTAACTTATTATTTTTTTTAAAAGAACCTCTTATAGAGGTAGACAAAAGGGTGGGAGGCAAATGGGGCTTGGGTATGAGGACATTGGTCAAGGGAAGTGGACCCTGTGAAGTGAAGGGTGTTGAAACATTGTATGCCTGAAACACAACATGAATAACTTTGGAATTTCATGGTGTCAAAATACATGTATTTATTTATTTATTTATAGATTTATTTATTTATATTTTATTTATCAAAGCTGCTTTTGACTGGATTTCAGTTATACAGTGCTCTGACACCCATCCCTCCACTAGTGTAATTTCCCAGCACCCACTCCCACCCTCACCTGCCTCTATGGCTGGCACCTCTCTTCTCTCTCTCTCTCTCTCTCTCTCTGTCTCTCTCTCTGTCTCTCTCTCTGTCTCTCTCTCTGTCTCTCTCTCTCTCTCTCTCTCTCTCTCATTTTAGGCATTTCGGTTTGCAATACAAATGCTGAAAGGTTATCATGTTTATCTCTTTACCTATTTTCAATTGAAAAAATAAGGAAAACAAACACAATTTTCTTCTGGACAGACTAAAGTAATTTACTCTTACCAGCTTCCAGATCCCAGCCTCCCAGTGGCAGCAGGGGTTCTTGTTGCAGGGTGAGGTGGTCGGGGGTCTCTTCGTCCAGTCACACAGATCTCCAGGACAGGTCACATTTCTCTCCTGAATGCCGCCTCCACAGGACTTGGAACACTAACAGGGTCAAGGTCAGAGGAAAATCGCAATAGCCCTCAGGGTGTGAAGGAAGGAACATACTCTCATGTTTATTATGTTTGGTGATATTAAGACCATTTGTTTGTTTTGGGTGTGGGAGTCACACCCAGCAGTGTTCAGAGATCACTCCTAGTGGGCTTGCGGGACCATATAGGGTGCCAGGGATCGAACTCACATAGGCCACGTGCAAGGCAAGTGCCCTATTCACTGTACTCTCACTCTGGCCCCACTAAGAACATTTGTATCTGGACTGGGATCTGCAGTGTCTGTGTCCAGCTCCTCACGGTCAACACTCAGTCCTGCTAAGCACCAATGGCGAAATGAGAAGTAAAGAGAAGCAAGGGAGACCGACTGAGACAATTCTGAGGATTAGAAGACAAATCAGGAGATGCCAAATGGTTTACCATCAAACATATGTCACAGGGCAGGAATTTGGAATAAAATCTTAAACACCTGGTCATTCCAGAGTGGACACAAAGTTATCTGCAAAGTACCTGTTAGCGTAAGTGGTTAGAAACCAAAGTGTAACATTTAGGTGTTTTCCCAAAAGGAGAGAGAGAACACAGGAGATTGCTCTGCCACAGAGGCAGGGGGGGATGGGGGGATGGGGGTGGGAGGGATATTATCCATGGTGGTGGAAAACGGGCACTGGTGGAGGGATGGGTATCTGATCATTGTATAATCGAAACCCAAGCACAAAAAATTGTAAATCTACAACTGTACCTCATGGTGTTTCACTAATAAAAAAAAAAATTAAAAAAAAATTGGGGGAAAAAAATTTAGGTGTTTTTATTATGCCTGACTAGCTCCAACAACTTGAATGGGGGCGGGGACACCCATTTGCAATGCAATTTTGTTCGTTTCCTTTTAAAATGAGATTTGGTCCCCTCTACATAAAGCTTTAAAATTAAATTTGCCCATTTCCGGAGCAGAGAATTTGATGGATTTGCTCATGATGTTATTCTGATGTCCTGGCTGTTATTCTCACAAAACAAATTCAAGATGACAAGTTGAATGTCTATTGGGATACAATTCTAAGAAGAATCAGGTTTTTGTTCACTAGAATAGGTGCTACAGAATAGTTTTATAAGATACACTGACTCATTTTCATGAGGTTCCTACGAGGAAATTAAATAATCCACCCCTCCAAGAAATGGTCGGAAAGTTCTTAGAGCACTGCAAAAAATTAGTTTGAAAAATCTTTTTTTTTTTTTTTGCTTTTGGGGTTACACCTGGAGATGCTCAGGAATTAATCCTGACTCTGTACTCAGAAATTACTCCTGGCAGTGCTTAGGGAACCTTATCAAACCTGGGTAGGCCATGTGCAAGGCCTACCTACCGTACTATTGCTCTGGCCCCAAGTTTGAAAAAAATCTTAAATATAGCATGGTACCAACAAGAACCGAACAATGATGACTGCCAACATCACACACCGGGCACTAGATATGTGGTGGTACCAAAGAAATCAGGGGAAATGTATACTGCTCCATAACAATGTAATCTATTGCACAGGAAGTTTGAACAAAGATTTCCTCTACCCCATTTATTCACTCTGTTTCTAAACCTGTGTGAGGAGAGTTACCTCCCATTTTTGTGTATGTCTAAACATGGATCTACAGATTCAGGGCCATATGGTCGAGTAATCTCCTGAACATGGGGCTGATGATAATATAAACCAATGTTTCTCAAAATACGGTCTTCACAGCAGCAACTTCAGCATCTACAGGGTATTTACGACAAAAACAAAACTTTAAGTCCAATCCACACCTTAGATTCAACCCTCCAGATGATTCTGATTTGCTAAAGGTTGAGAACTGTTGAGTGTCGAGACACTTTCATGGCTGATACATGGAGTCCGTGCAGGTAGCCAGGGCTGGCTGACATTTACTGAAGGAGTTTAGAACATTCCCAGCAATCAATTAGATAGTAGTGGATATGAAAAGATGAACCTTTGTATAAAGCAGCCTTTATGCAGAGATGGGTCAGGACAGGCATCTAAAAGTGTCCACTTCTTCCAATACCATAGAAAAACACTCAACTCACTTTGACATTTCTCTATCTCCTGTTCCCTCAGAAGGAAGATTTCATCTTTTGTGATTTGCTGAGAACCGAAGAGAGCAATTTAGCAAGGAGCATGGTGGGATCCTTCCAGGGAGCAGCTTTACGGCTGGTCTCTGGGAAAGTACTGAGGCAGCGTAAATGATATACACCTTTCATAAATGGAAAACAGATTTGATTGCTTATCTTTGAGAATCTGAAAATAAAATTTCTCTGACAAGGCAATCAAAACTCCATCACAATCCTAGGATTCTGTACATACAGACTGCTTGAAAGCTCAAGTCCTAAGCATGAGTAGCCACACTTCTATCCCAGAGTTTGGCAGGGGAGAAGAAAAAAAGAACAGTGGAGACACTGGCCTAGAAAACACTAGTTCCATGCTCAGGAATGAGCCTGCTTTCTCACTCGGTGGACTATGAATAGATATTTGGGATTAACCCTCCCTAAGCTTCACCCCCTACTTTGCACCCCACAACCGCTGTGGTTGTCTACTCTCCCTTCTCTGCCACAAGGAAGGGCTTCTCTCAAAGTGTCACTAGTAGTCTCTCCTCAGTGCCCTCTTTGTGCAGTGTCCTACTGAAGAAAGAGCAGAGGCACTGGAGCTAGACATATGCTTGAATTAATACACCACCATTTATTTACCTGTTGCAAAATTTTTCATGTTAACCCCCAATGCCTACTTTTTCATTTATGAAATGGAATTAATCAGGCCGGTCATGCAAGTTGCTGTGAGAATTAAGCTAAGAAGCACGGGAAAAAGGCATAGTCTATGGTCATACATTGTCCTGGGCTCTTTTTTTAACTTTTCTTTCAAACCAGGCCTGGATGTGTTTGAGAGGTTTTTAGTTTATTTTAGCTCATTTCATGTTGGCAAGTAAAATCATTTTACTTCAAAAACAATAAACTTGCATTTCTCTCTCTCTGTCTGTTTCTCTCTGTCTCTCTCTCTCTCTCTCTTTCTCTCTCTCTCTCTCTTTGAAAGGAGGGACAGTTTGGGCCACATCTGACAGTGCTCAGGTCTCACTCCTGGCTCTGCACTCAGGACTCACTTTGGTGATGCCCAGGGGACTCTAGTCAGTGGAATCAAACGGGGGTCAATTTATGCAAAGTAGGTATGTCAACCCCTCTACTCTCACTCTGCACCATGACAAATTTGCTTTTATGCGCTGAAGCAGAACAAAGATCCATCAAGCTTGGTCTCTCAGAAGTAGAGGACACACCCAGGTACACATCTCTCTCTCTCTCTCTCTCTCTCTCTCTCTCTCTCTCTCTCTCTCTCTCTCTCTCTCTCTTTCTCTCTCTCACACACACACACTCACTCTGTCTCCCTCCATGTGTGTGTATGTGTGTGTGTGTGTGTGTGTGTGTGTGTGTGTGTTCTCAGGGTTTAGTCCCTGCTCTGCGCCCACAGATCATTCCTAGTGGGGCTTAGGGAACCATACCTGGGTTGGCCATGTACTATCTGCCTCCTTCCACCATTTTTTGTTTTTTTTGCTTTTTGGGTCACACCCAGTGATGCTCAGGGGTTACTCCTGGCTCATGCACTCAGGAATTACTCCTGGCGGTACTCGGGGGACCATATGGGATGCTGGGAATTGAACCTGGGTCGGCCATATTGGCTGCATGCAAGGCAAACACCCTACCCGCTGTGGTATCACTCCAGCCCCTCCTTCCACCATTTTTATTTCTACAGTGACCTAGGTCTTTAACTGAGAGGTGAATCTTGGAATTAAACTCTGTGTGGAAAGGATTTCAACGTTACCCCTTTCCCCCCCCGCCCCGCCAGCCTAGTTGCAGAAGTCCAGAAGTATGAAAGGCTCTATCTTGAGTGGTTCTCGAACTGGTCCATGTACATATGTCCCTCAGGGTGACCCCAAAGCCTCAGTATAACCATTAGGATTAGGTTATAACCACACATGAAAACAATGGAAACCACTGGAGACAGTTTTCCGGGTGCTGGCCCTGCTTGCCCTCAGAGCACTCTGGTCATATAAATGGTCTTCCCTGATGTCACAGCTGCTAGGGAAGGTGGCCAGCGGACACAGGGCCGTACCTGGCTCCAGGGCTCCACCTGCCACTCTGTGCAGGGCTCGGTGTTGCAGGCCATGCTGAGTGGGGGTGGAAGGCCGGCCAGGAACTGGCAGTGAAAGGGCCGCAGGCTCCGCCGGTCCCGGTCATCCACACACTGGATCTCTCGGAGCCGGAAGCCACCACTGCAGTTTCTTGAGCACTAAATGGTGTGTGAGAAGAGAGGAGGAATAAGGAACTGGGCGTCAGGCCTCCGGTCCCGATGCTGGGCTTTTCACAGACTGTGTGTGACACCCAGAGAGAAAGAGAGAGTCAGTCCTGTTCAAGAACCCCCACTTGCCCTCACCCACTCAAGCAGCTCCCCAAATCCGGGTTTTAGGAGTAAGCTATCACTGATAGGGTGTGAGCACTGGGCTGGGAGGAACCCCCCTTTTTCAATCACGTGCCCCAGGGTGCAAGTCCTTGTTGCTGGTCCACAGGATTGCCCATGGGGCGGAGTTCTCTGCCAAGCCCCAGCCCACTCTCCCGGAATCCTGCAAAGAAACTTTCCCCTCTGATGCTCCACATGAGCTGCTTATCAAGGGAAGGGGCAGAAACAGAAAGAATATCTTGCCCTGTCCCCTCTGCCCTGCCTCCTCCAGCCACCATCACTTTTCCTCAGCACCCTCAGAGGTGCCGTGTGCCCCGTGCTCACAGATGTGTAGCCTAGAAGCCCTGCCTCCCCGTCTCAGCAGAAGCAGGGCTCACCCGCAGGTGACAGCAGCCCTGTCTCCCCCGCCGGTGGCTGACTTCCTCAGACCATGAGAGGAACTGTGTGGTTTGTGCATCCATCACAAAGCTACTCCATCCCTGCCCCAAAGGAGACAGGCTCAGACCCATCCCAGATGCTCATGTCTGCCTGGCCTCCCTGCACTCCTGCCCCTGCATCTCTCTCTCCCTACCAGCCCGCCCCTGGCCTTTCTCATCCCGGCCCCATACTCGGGAGGTGGAAGGGATGGACGCAGACCCCTGGGTTCCTTGGTCCTGCTCCCCAGAGCCTCCTTGGCTTGTGGGTCATCTATCTACCCTGATGGCTGCTTCCTCCACACTCCATACTGCCCACCCACCACAGTTCTTTCTTTCGGTCACAACTTCAACAGCACCTCCTCGGAGTAGCCTTCCTTGAATGCCTTTCCCCAAGGCGCTCTCCCATTCGTTATTTATTTCAGCTCGCCCATTGGCTCCCCCATCACAGGAATGTGCCATGTGGAGCCCCATTCATTTCTCTCTCCATCCTTTCTATCTTATTGTTCCCTCTCTGAAGTTGGACCCCTCCCTGCTCTGGTCAGCACCACACCAGGCACAAGAGGTTCCTTCCAGACTGGCTAATGAACAAATGAATTCAAGATGAGTGTAGGATTTTTGAGAAAAGGGCAGTTGAGGAGGTCTTGGTGGTTTAACAAGATCTGTGACTTGGGGCTGGGGAGGTGACTTGGGGATAAAGCATCTGCATCAGACCCTGGCACTAGACAAGAAAATAAATCAGTGATCGCTATGGGAAGGAAGAGCCACTCTCTTTATCCACTCAGTTCTTCCAACAATGATCTTATTGCAGGTTATTTTAGAGGGGTGGTTGGGATAGATTTTGCATCTGGCTCTGTGATGGGGTTATGGAGTCACTCCTGGCAGATCATGTGATTCTGGGCTTAGGAGTACGCAGGGTTTAACCACTGGACTAGCTCTCCACCTTCCTGCAGTCTTTTTTTTGCCTTTTGGGTCACACCCAGCGATGCACAAGGATCACTCCTGCTTTATGCACTCAGAAATTACTCCTGGTGGTGCTCAGGGGACCATATGGGATGTTGGGAATCGGACCCGGGTCGGCCGCGTGCAAGGCAAATGCCCAACCCGCTGTGCTATCGCTCCAGCCCCCTCCCTGCAATCTTGACTGATGAGAAAGTCAAGATGACTGTCAGACAATCATGGAGATCAGGCTCCTTTGTGGCAGGATCATCGTTAGGGAAGGGCTACATGGGGAAGGGAACTCCTTGAAACCTTTTGGCAGAAGCAGATGCCAAAATACTGCTCTCCCTTCTCCCGCCACCTGGCCGGTGGTATGTCTCTCCTGACTTCAAATCTTAGTCTCTAACCTGCAAAGGGCCAATTGACAGAGGACAGATGGATGGCCTAAAGCTTCATGAATCCAAGTTCAGAAGCCCTCTGGAAATAAGCAACCCTTGCTCAGACAGCATACGCCCACCCCCCAAACAAACACACCACTTCATCTTCCTGCCATATTAATGGAGATGCAGAGAAATAGGTGATTTCTAATCAGGCAAGGAACAAATGAGAAATCAGGTAAATAATTCCCACACAGTGCAGCCATTTGTCTGACAAAATTGCTTGCTGGGAAGCAGTGCTCATTCTTGAGAGAAAAATGGTTTAAAATGACAGAAGGGGTGGGAGACTGGAAGTTCCCAAAGGAATGTGTGGTGGTTCTCTCCCTCACCTCCTTCTCTTCCTGCAGACCAGTCTTATTTTGGAAAAGGGACCCTAAAGCGGATACATGCCAGTTCATGCTCCTCCGTGGCCAGTAGGTGGGCCGAGAGAGCCTGACTGAGTCTCTTCGTGCTTGTGTGTGGGAGGAAGCAGGAGTTTTCTCTTAGGGGAGAAAACTGAGGTCTAGAGGGGACATCGGATTGTCTGGCAGATTAAAAGGGTATGCAAGCTTCATGAGCAGCTGATGAGCCATGATTTAATTATACATGGGAATAATGAATATGTAATTATTAATTACTCTGCTAAATGTAAGTAATTTGGGAATAACAGGGCATTGCTGGGCAACCAATTATTTATGCAATCTGAAGTTTTATTCTGGTTTCCTTAAGAAGAGAAAGACGAGACAGATGGGAACATATGAGTTGTTCTAAGACTTTTGTGAAGCTTGAAGTGGGTCTACTGTCATGCCTAAGATTTCTTCTTTTTGTTTGTTTAGTGTTTGTTTTGGGGGGTACATACACCCAGTAGTGCTCAGGGGCTATTCCAAGCTCTGTGCTCAGGAATGACTGGGTGATGCTGAGGGGTCGTAGGTGGTGCCAGGGGTTTGAACGGGGTTGGCAGTATGGAAGGCAAGTGCCTTACCCTGCTGTGACTATCTCTCCAGCCCCTTTCCAGTTGTGACAGAGAAAAGCAGAAGAATGAAGGAATGGAAGTAAAAAACGGATTTCGGCAAAGGCTTCTCTAAAGCCGCCTCCCCTGCGAGCCTGTACATCACCTTGCTCCAGTTGCCCACTTTCCAGCCCGCACAGGGACGCAGGTGGCAGCGCTTGGCAGGGTCGGGTCTCCGCAGGGCTGCACAGTCGGAATCCATCTGGGTGCTGCATTGCACACTTCGCCAGTAGGCCCCCAGCCCACACGTGGTGGAGCACTGTGACAGAGAAGGGGGAGGAAACAGAGGTTGTGGGTCCCCTTCCCACACATCCTCCTCCACCTTCAGGAGCCAGAGGTCCTCTTGGGGTTGACTGCTCAGCAAAAAGAGAGCTTTTTTTTTCCTTCTGCTTTTTGGGTCACACCCAGCAATGCTCAGGGGTTGCTCCTGGCTCATGCACTCGGGAATTACTCCTGGCGGTGCTCAGGGGACCGTATGGGATGCTGGGAATCAAACACAGATCAGCCATGTACAAGGCAAATGCCTTACCTGCTGTACTATTACTCCAGCCCCTGTGCAGAGAGGTTTTAAAAAGATACCAGTGCTGGGGGTGCAGATATGGCTCAAATGGTAGCACATATGCCTCACCCATGAGAGTGCCTGAAGTGCGCAGGGGCCGCCAAGCTCACAACATACAGGGCAAGGGTGAGGGATCAAATTCATGGCTTGTACATGCAAGGCATTTGCTCACCCATCTAAGCTATCTGTTTGACCCACAAACCTACCACCTTTTGCTTTAGATACTGTCCATTCTTCAAAGGAGGTTTTCATTTACTTATGCTTTCTGAGTACCAGAGTTTATGGTGGGACCAACTTGGTAAGTACATTCACTTTTTCCCCTCACTTCTTCCATTCAGCACTCAGTTATTACAGTTTAGGCTTATTTGCATCCCATCTTCATCACCCATCTTCAGAAGGAGAGGCTGTTTTTCTATTTGCAGGTCACTGGTCTCATTTAAACACAGGAATAGAAGTTCCATTGGTGACATGTGATGAGATTGCATGGGTTCAGGGTGATTTGGCCATTCCATCCGTGATGCATTTGAAAGTTTCTTTGGATTTGTTGGAGATCAAAGCCAGCTTTGCGTCTCTGTCTTTGCATTTCCCCCTCCTGCATATTTCCTGTTTCACTTTCTGCAACCTCCATTGCATGTCCTCTAAATTTCTATCATTTTCTCATGGGTGCCCATTATGTCTATGCATATGTGTGTAAGAGAAAGTGGCAGCTGAAGTACACTGAGCACTGTCATAGTCTCAGAGCACAAGTGGCCATCTTGGTTCATATCCATGCTCTTTGAAATGGAACTTGAAACCATGTCTTCTGTTATGGGACCTTGAATCTATTCTCCTCTAGAGATAAAATCTACCCCCCCCCCCCAAGCCCCCGCTGCTCCTGAATCAGGACTATTCTGGTGACTTTCTTTAGATGGTGCCGTACTCTTTCTAAGAGGGTCTTGCTTGCTTCCAACCTTTTCTTGAAGCCCATCACTGACATGGAATAAACTTGGGTAACCTGCTGGATGATAAGGGATGATGTGAAAACCAACCAAGCCAGGAGACCTCACTGAGGCCATCCCAGAACAGCCAGCCCTCAGCTTACCCTAGCAGATGCATGGCAAGTTAAACCCAGATCCATGAGGCTTAGCTTAGATAGGCAGGACTCCCAGCTAACACAGACTGAAGAACAAAGCTAACTGCTCGCTGAGGCATTGTAATTGTTTGTGACATTGTACTATTATCTCGGGACAGTAAGTTCCCATCTAATGGGCACATTCCATACCTTCTTTCGTCCTTGAGAGTCAGTGTGTAACTTTAGTTTCGCAGCTGGCGAGCTTTCTGGCCTTTATGTATGAGTTCTTCCTGACATCTAGAATTTCACACATACAACTCCCTGTCCCTGTACTATATTCTGGGTCCTAAAAACTTACAAGTTTGAATCATCCTTTTTATTACTTTAAAGTAGAGTCAGTGTCATGATCAATGGTCTTGATTATACAAAAGAATTTTAATTGGCACTGAAGTTCACAGGAGACAGATTAAAGTGGATAGAGAAGTTCTATCATCCGACAAGTGTGTCTTTAGACAAACACAAAAATCTTAGTTTCTCTATTTGTGAGTTAGTATAATTAATCTATTATCTCCTCCTCTGGACTGACAAGAGGAGAAAATGAGATTGTAAATGAATTTGTTTGTTGTGAAATTTAACACACTTTGCAAATTGAAAGTATTGTTATTTTTGTGTACCAGCTGCTAACCCTTTACTTCTCTTTAGCTAGGGGATGAGTCATCAATTGTCACAAAATGCAGAATTATTTGACTATGTGATTATTTTGCCACAAGGTCCTCTTTAGAGCTGTCAAATTATTTTAACAAGTTCATGGCTGTGCATTCAAAATTCAAATGGGTGAGAAATTATTCTCATGCCTCAAAGGATGTAATTAGTTCTACTAATGGAAAAACAAATATGTAGTCAAAATTTTGAAGCATGAACAGAGGAACTCAGATTTTGTCATTACATTGATTTTCTTCTTTCTCCTATGTTCTAATTTTTCTTATAAGCCCCAAGGATATTTTTAATATAATCAGGCCCCCAAGTGCACAAAGGCTAGATCACTGATATACCACATTTCATTGCATAATTGTGTTTTTTTTCTCTCTTTTTTAATTGAATCACCCTGTGATAGAGCATTATAAAGCTGTTCATGATTGTGTTTCAGTTATACAATGTTTCAACTCCCACCCCTCCACCAATGTAATTTCCCAGTATCAATGTCCTCAGTTTCCTTCCCCCGTCCCCCGCAACTACTCCTTCACCCCCACCTGCCTCTATGGCAAGCAACTCTCTCCTCTCTCTCTCTCTCTCTCTCTCTCTCTCTCTCTCTCTCCCTTTTTCTTATTTTAAGCATTATGGTTTGCAATAAAGATGTTAAAAGGTTATCATTGCCTGTTTTTTTCTTAACTAGCAGAAATTTCAATTCTTACTATATTTGGTGGTGAGGGGGGGAAAGTGGGGGTTCCCAAGCAGTGCTCAAGGAGGCTTAGGGGCTCCGTGGAGAATCTCAGTTAGCTGGACTGGTGGTTTAATGCTGAGATCGAGGATGCAATGCTATTTGGGGTCTATGGTAGCCCAGGGAGTATTCATACCACCTCAGTGGTTCAGGGGATTCTAGGGAAACACCTGGCAATGCTGGGGAGGCTCTAACAATACAACCCGGGGGTCCTTAGGGTGAACCATGTAGTGCCTGGACTAGTATCTGGGCCTAGTGTGTATCCAACCACTGTACTTTCTCCCCATCTTAGCATATATTTTAAAAAAAACATTGCGGGGCTGGAGTGATAGCACAGCGAATATGGCGTTTGCCTCGCATGCAGCTGACCTGGGTTTGATTCCCATCATCCCATATGGTACCCCAAGCCAGGAGTAATTCCTGAGTGTAAAGCCAGGAGTAGATCCTGAGCATCGCCAGGTGTGATCCAAAAAAGCAAAAGAAATAAAAATAAAAAACATTGCACATAGTGGCAATATTTCAGTTTCAGGGGAAAAAAAGGGCATAAAATCTGTGTTGATTATGTGGTGAAATACCGTAGGGTAAAATTCTTTAAGCTAATTACGTCTCAGATTTCCATTTTCATATGACTACCTGACAGAACCAGCATCAGCCTCATGATGGAAAAGCGAACAGAGGCACTATCAGTTGTCCTGTCTCACAGAATTGCTGCAGATGATGATGGCCGACATTACTGAAGCCAGCCCTTGTGCCTTCTGCAGACAAAAATCTGCCGGCTTTGAGAGACGAATGAGTTCTCCATCTCCTCACATCCTGACTCAGTTTAGACTCTGTGTGTCTCACTGTTATTTGAACTTCAGAGAGATTTGTTTGATTCATATTTGGTGTTAGAGGAAGGAGGGAGTTGAGGCAACAGATTCAACTGTCCCCCACTGCACCCCACCCTCACTTTTAGACCATTTTATGTGTCATTTCTTTTGTGGTTTTCAATGTGTTTTGGGGGGCATGTGGGGGAGGGTCACACTTAGAGAGGTTTGGAGATTGTTCCCTGCAACACTTAGGGGATCCTCTTGTGTCAGGGATCAAACCCAAGCCTCCTACATGCAAAACATGCACACTAACCTTTTAAGCTGTCTCTTTGGTCCTCCATACGCTCTGAAATATTCACTACAATACAGTACCCCCAGCTATTTTAGAGACAGTATGGGGTATATGGTAAGAAATGGAACTCCTACCTCACTCCAGTTTCCTACAATCCAGTACGCTGGGCTGTGGTCATGCTGAGTGGAGAGCTGCTTGTAATTAGAGGCATTTAGCAAAAAGCCCTCAGCAATCAGACTTGCTGCATCTTCTTCTGTCAGGAGGGGGTCTAAACTCTGTGTTCTATTCGTGTGGTTTGGATCTTCGGTAAGGTGATGGTTTACTAACTTTCCTGAGGAAAAGTCAGCTGGTTTGTGGTCTTCTCCCAGAGGAAGTGAAGTGTTAGCTGGCTTTTCTGTGACCAGTCCCTCTGCTGTGAGTGCACCATTTTCGAGAGTAGGAGATTTTTGGCTGGGTAGCAGTCCTTCCCTTGCTGTGGTGAAGGGTGACCCCCAGGAAGCTCCCTTTACATAAGGTGTTGGTGGTGGTCCAAGGGGAGTTTCTGTTCTTTCCACTGAAGCCACACTTCCAGAGGTGCTGATTTTGGTCCAGGTGACAGAGCTGCTTTCATTTTTGTTTTTCAATACTTCACTGTCTTCTCCTGAGCCACTTTGTATCTCTATTTCTGGCTCCTTGGTCAAGTTGCCATAAAATGGAGTTACCGGCCAAGTAGGGGGGTTGCTGGAAGAGACCAAGTCGGCACCACTCATTGTTGTGGCTTTAAGATCTCCCAGGGAGGGAGGCCCGTCACCTGAACCGGAAACGTTCTTGTCATTCGTCTGGAGACTCAAAGGCCTGGATGTGAGAGTCGGCTGGGAAGTGCTTCTGGTGGGAAGGACATCATTGGGATCCAGTTCTGTGGGGGTGGAACTGTTGCGGCTCTGTCCCCCAACCAGGTCGTCTGTGGGGGCTGTGGTCAGAGCTGGGCTGGGGGTGGTCAGTGCACTGGTACCCACAGGTGCAGTCCCTGTGGGTGTGATCAGTAGCCTAGGGCTGGGCGTTGGGGGAGTACTGGACATCAGTGGATTCCTCCAGCTGGGAACCCCGCCTTTGGTGGTTTTCAGATTTCTCCTGGTTGATGGGCATTGCTGGAGGCCGCACAGAGCCCTGCTGTTGGGTTTCTTCCTTGCGTCACAAGGCTCATCCTGGTTCTTGGCACAGGTGACACTGCGAATCCGTACCCCACCACCACAGGAAACAGAGCACTGGAAAAGAAACAGAGAGAGCCATGAACAGAATGGAAAAGAAACATGGATCTAATGCATGTTTTAACGACACAGAATCAGAGGTCTGCAGCACTGAACTGTGCAGGCATGTTTCTCTACCATGACATTTGGTGTTGAGGCCCTTTTTAGTTTTCCATGAAGATGTGTGGAGAACACCTGGAGCTCAATGTATCCTTTTTCTTTTCACAAACCGACACCAGACCCAAAGGATGCCTCCATGGGCTTTGAAAGTTGGAGAGTGGATCCAGTAAGAGCATGGTTTAAACAAGTCACCTCTTTGTCAAAGTTAGCAATATTATCTTAGTAGATTGGAATGCTTTACACTATCAAGATGGCAATACTGCCCAAAGCAATATACAAATTTAAGGCGGTCCCTATCAGGATGCTTATGACATTTTTCAAAGAAATAGACAAAACACTCCTGAAATTCATAATGGAACGATAAACCCCCAGAAATAGCTAAAGCAATCCTTGGGACAGAATTGAATATTCTGTCACAGACTCCCAAATATATGACCACTTAATCTTTGACAAAGGAGCAAGAAATGTGAAGTGGAACAAGGAAAGCCTCTTCAACAAGTGGTGCTGAGAAAACTGGATAGCTTCCTGCAAAAAAATGAACTCTGACCTCTGTCTAGTGCCAGGCACAAGAGTCAGACCAAAGTGGAATAAAGACCTCAATATAAGACATGAATTAATAAGATACATAGAGGAAAATGTAGGCAGAACTCTCCATGACATTGAAGCTAACAGCATCTTTAAGAATAAAACACCACTGACCAAGCAAGTGGAAACAAACATAAACAAATGGGACTACATCAAACTAAGAGGCTTCTGCACTTCAAAATAAACAGTGACCAAATTGCAGAGAGAACCCACAGAATGGGAAAGGATATTTACCCAATATCCATCTGATAAGGAATTAATATCCAGGATATACAAGACACTCGTAGAATTATATATAAAAAAAGCCTCCAACCCCATCAAAATATGGGGAGAAGAAATGAACAGAAGCTTCCTCAAAAAAGAAATACAAATGGCCAAAAGGCACATAAAAAAATGCTCCACTTTGCTAGTCATCAGGGAGATGCAAATAAAAACAACAGTGAGATATCATCTCACACCACAGAGACTGACACACATTCAAAAGAATAAAAGTGCTGGCATGGATGTGGGGAAAAGGGATGCTCTTTCACAGTTGGTGGGAATGCTGACTGGTCAAGTCTTTCTGGAAAAGAATATGGGCAGTCCTTCAAAAACTAGAAATTGAGCTTTCGTATGACCCCACAATACCTCTTCTGGGACTATATCCCGAGGGTGCAAAAAAGCACAGTAGAAATGACATCTGTACCTATATGTTCATTGCAGCACTGTTCACAATAGCCAAAATCTGGAAACAACCCAAGTGCCCTAGAACAGACGATTAGTTAAAGAAACTTAGGTACACATATGCAATGGAATATTATGCAGCTGTTAGGAGAGATGAAGTCATGACATTTGCTTATAAGTGGATACACATGGAGAGTATCATGCTATGTGAAATGAGTCAGCGAGGGATAGATATAGAAGGACTGCACTTATTTGTGGTGTATAAAATAACAGGAGACCAAAACCCAAGGACAGTAGATATAAGGGTCAGGAGGATTGCTCCATAGTTGGAAGCCTGCCTCATGAGTGGGTAGGGAGAGGACAGCAAGAATAGAGAAGGGATCACAAAGAAAATGACGGCTGGAGGAATTGGTTGGGATGGGACATGTGTGTCGAAAGTAGATAAAGGACGAACATGATAACCTCTCAGTATCTGCACTGCAAACCATAATGCCCAAAAGTAGAGAGAGAGAGAGAGAGGAATATTGTCTGCCATGGAGGCAGTGGGAGGATGGGAAAGGTGGGGATATACTGGGGATATTGGTGGTGGGGAATGTGCACTGGTGGAGGGATGGGTGTTTGATCACTGTGTGACTGTAACTCAAACATGAAAGCTTGTAACGATATCTCACGGTGAATCAATAAAATTAAAAGAAAGAAAGAAAAAGATGAGAAAGTCCAAAAACATTACAATAAAAGCACCTACCCATAAAAAAAGACTGGAATGCTATTAAATTCATGGAAGATATTTTTATATTTTTCAGAATATTAAGTCAGTTATCGTGAATGTTTCCCTTTGTATTTAGAAAATGCCTGTTATCACCATAAGCTCTCTTTTCACTTTCCTGTGTCAGCCAGATTGAAATCTGGGAAGTCCAGGGAAGTAGCTCAAAAAGTTGGGTCACCTGTGTCAAGTGTGGAGGCCACGAGTTGAGTTCCATGTACCATAGGCAGGACTCACCTCACCCTTCTTGCCAAATTCCCGGCTGTGATCCCAGAGAGCCCTAAGCACTGAACTTTCAGGCCCGCACAAGTGAGTATGTTTCACCTGGGGTGACCCCTGGCCCCCAAGAAGTACTAGAAAACACTCCCTCCATCCCAAATTTAAAAAAAAAGGCTAAACAATCCCCATAGTCACACATAGTTGTCCACAAACCCAGGAAACTCTGAAATGTCACAGCTTGCGGTCAGAAGTGGGGAGATATTTCTTCCCAGGAGCCAGGGGGAGGCCTGGGGTGTGATGTTCATCTACATGCAGGGGCTGGGGACCGCTTGTTGGTTCATCCCCTCCCCCCACCAAGGAAACCCAGGAATCCTTCCCATTCCAGAGGGCATTCCAAAGCATGACTGCTGCACCTCTGGGGTGGGAGATACTAACAGAACAGGCCTTCCCAGAATTAAGCTAAAGAACATGAATTTGGCTGCAAACTGCATGTATGCATTTTGCATTTAATATTGCCCATAGTACAAAAATTAAGATGTTTAGAAAACATCTTTGACCCACTGTCCCATTTTTGTTTGTTTTCTTTTTGGGTCACACCCGGCAATGCTCAGGGGTAACTTCTGCTCTGCAACTGAGGAATTACTCTTGGCATTGCTTGGGGGACCATATGGGATGCTGGGGATACAACCGGCATTGTGGTAAGCAAACACCCTCCTCACTGTACTAAGCTCCAGCCCCCACTGTCCCATTTTTAACATTCCATACAATGTTTCAAACCATGGGACTCTTCAGAGGCCTTGCTTATGTTGCCTTGGACCCTGACCTCAAACTATGTTTCTGGAGAATGGGAATGATCTGATGCTCAGTAGGTGAGAGGCCTGGCTTTCTGTGTGGTAGTCAGGACAGCTCTGCAAAGCTGACCAGACAGGGGTCCAGAGGCAGGCTTGAAAGTTTCTGCAAACCAGAGCAGGAATTCAACTTATTCCACTTCACCCCACCTAAAACTGAGTGAGCACACTGGTCAAGTAATCATTCACTGAGCTCCTTGCTGGCTTACCCAAACACTAGATTTCTGAGAGATTACTCAAACATGGAACCATTCCTTATTCATAATTAAGTTGAGTCATTTCTGGGACACGGTGATGGCTTATTCATATCCACTGATACATTTTCCTGGGGAAATATCAGTAATGGGAAAATTCTTCTCACTAGTACATGCGGATTTTAGTTCTCAAACATCCTAGGACCATGCTGCCTCCCTGGAGTGAAATAAACAAAGAGCTTCGCACATCAGCTAGCCTTCTTGCACAAGAAAATTGAAGCAAGGACTTGAAAAAACAAACTTTAAAAATAAATCCTAAAAAAAACTAAGGTTTCATTTTTTTTTTTTTGAAGATTATATAGAGGGTTCTAGCACGCAACAGGGATGAATGGAGACATTACTGGCACCCGCTTGAGTAAATCGATGAATAACGGGGGATCACGTGATGGAGTGATATAGAGGGTAGGGCACCTGTCTTGCACATTACTGACCCCAGTTTGACCCTCAATATCCCATACAGTCCCCAGGAGTGATTCCTGAGTGCAGAGCCAGGAGTCACCCCTGAGCATCGCCAGGTATGCTCTCCTCACCACACACCAACAAAATAAAACAGAACCTCAATTCTCTTTTGGGTTTTTTAATTTTAAGTTTGTCTTCTTAGGTCCTCACTTCAATTTTCATGTGCAGGAAAGAAAAGTGGATGTGCGAAGCTCCTTGTTTATTTTACTCCAGGCAGGCAGCATGGCTCGAGGATGTTTGAGAGCCACGGAATGTGCTTCCTGAAAGGCAGTGACACTGCGAGTGCAGGACACACAGAACCGAGGAGCTGAAGGCCAGCTGAGGAAGCCGTGCACACAAGATGTCACAGACTCGCACATGGGACTGCCATGCTAGCATTGCTACAATAATTCTGATCTTTGCTGAAAACTCTGTATCACAGACCAGGTAACACACAGTCCCCTCCAACCGAAGTGGAGAAAACCCTTTCGAAGTCCCAGCAGCCAGAAAAGGTCTCTTCCTGGCACCCTCTAGAACTCACTTCCCTTGGGGTTTTGCAAGAACAAGACGGGGCCTTTAATCTCCTGGTTTAACCATAACGTTTCTGCCCCGTTTCTACATGATGGTACACAATATTCCATCCATTTAGTTATCCCGAACCTCTCTCCGCTTTTTTCCTTACAAATCTGAACCCTCAGGTTTTCCAGTCTCTACTTTGTAGATGTTTATCAGTGCCACCAAACCATTCTGTTTTTGTTTGAACACTTGCTTGCTGGCTGTCTCAGGCAGGCCTAGTTTCCAGAACTGACTCGTCAAATGAGGACTGGGTAATGCTACCTGCTCTCTAGCTGTAGCAGGTACACAGTTCACACTGGGTTGCTTCTGGATTGTCCCCTATCACCTCCCAGGAAATATTAGACAGTAGCATACTAGGAAACTCTTCTTCCTTTTTTTCTTCATTCCTTTGTTTTGATTAGAAATTCCCACAGGGAAGTCAAACATCACAACTTTAAGAGCACTTAAAAAAATCCAATCCCTTAAAAATAGACAGCAAGGCAGCAACAAAGGGCCAAAGGCAACACAATGAGAATGATCCACAGAACAGAGTTAGGAGGTGAGGATGAAAGG